CATTTGCTGAACCAAAAACAAAAGAGATTATCAATGTACATAAAAGATGCCTAATTAACAAAAATAGGATATTTAACAATACGGGAAAAAGGAGCCATTTTGCAAAAGTTAAGGCATGAGAAGCAACCAAAACCGCATAAAAGATGAAAGGAGATTAGGAACAACTTTGTATCAAAATTTGGAAAGCTGAAAATAATCAATAATTTCACCATTAATGATGATAGGAAAGGTACTCTTGAATGCAAGTAACCAATTAGAGGACGACCCTTTTCTCAAACTAGCGTATAATTCATTAGACTCAATAAACAAAGTCTCTCAAATAATTGCTCATCAACATTCATTTATAGGATTCTAATGGCTACAGAAAAGACTACACAAAAAAATTAGAAAAAAATGCAACACCACATAGAATACCCAAACAACACTACGCGCTACCCTTCGTTGGCATTCAATGCATCCTGCGTTATCTTTGAAGAGATTTGTAAAATTCAACATTGTTTTGACGACTTTAGACTTCTCCAATATAAAATTTTAACGTTAATTATAACTATTCATGTTGTGATTGGACAGTGGAAGAATCAAATAGTGACAAAAGTACAACAAGCAAGTGTTCTTGAGGAAAGATTAGATAAGGGTTAAATTATTAATGAAAAATTAATTGGAAATTAATGTTAAGATAGTTCAAAACTATCAGCATAGACTGACATGACTACATCATTGATTGTTGGGTGGTGCTCTAACAAAAATTAGTTAAGAGCTTGCAAAACTCAGAAATAACAGATTGGACCTTCGAAGAAAGCGAAGTAGGCAATTAAGCTTTATATTAAAATAATTTCATATTATTTAAGTTTTGAGCATTTATATATATATGCTCAAATAATTGCTTAATATTAAAAATGAAACATTAAATAATTATGCACATTCATATTGATAACTTCAAATTTCAGATTAAAGATGTAGAAAGAACTTATTTCAAAGTATCATATAAATGTGATTATTATTTTTAGCTTATTATGCATATGTAAATGAAATTGGAAGGAACATAATAAATTTTAATATGAAATGAAAACTTTTAAAATAGAAAAGGTAAAGCATGCAATCCAAGAGTTCACCCCTTATGATACAGATTAGAGAAATAATATACTCGTGCATGATAAATAAAAATAGAAATGAAAATGAAAATACATTTATTGTGCCTAATTAGAAATTACTCCTGAATTAAATGAACTATTAAAATTAAGTTAAAAATTAAATGATAGATATGCTAAAGAAGGATTATGTAATAAAAAAATTTTAGTAATCATATTTTTATTGTTATATAATGAAAAGCTTGATGTTATGACATAAATGCTTATATGCATGAGATATTGTTACTGTTATACTATAAAACATAATTGACCATTGAGTTTGTTACTGAAAACTCAAATCATTAAATTAAAAATTTGAGATAAAGCTCTCCTCTTATTGATTAAATGACTGATCGAAAAAATTTCGTCTATAGAAGATGATCAATTAAAAATAGATATCTAATTTTATATTTAAATTGGATATTGCTTTAGCAGTTCTTTAGATAAAAATTGGATGTTTTGTTTATTAAGCAATTATACTGTTAAAAAAATTGTGATATTCATTCAATCGTCTGATCTCGCTTCGTTAATTCGAATCTCAAGGCTGGAACGTGATAAAAATCCCAGATTCGCCCCACAAAGAGCAACTCTTTGATAGGCTCGAGTGAGTAACACATGTTGATTACTCTGGGTGAGTACCTTGCACACTCGAGGCGAGTGACTCCTCTTGAATCATTAGGCAAGTCATCTAGGTGATCCGCCCTCGAGAGTGAGCCCCTCTATCATGACCCACTAACTAGCTATTAAATATATGTGAATGCATATGCGAGTATATAATATCTTTGAATATTTATATTTCCTTTTCATTTTTTTTTTTAAGGTTGTACTTTTCTTTGATGAGTTGTTTATGATTCCTACTCATACTTTCATCAGTGATTTTATTCTCCAAATTGTAGGAAGTTTCATTAGTTCTGATATTAGCAAATTCCATACAAATTGTCATCATACAATATATAATATACAGTGCATAGGTATGGGATGATGAATATCCTATATTTTGATTATAGACCCATTGCAAGAAACTCTAACCTCTTCTTTAGTGGTAACATAGCATCGCTGTGAATATTTCCATATTTTATAGCTAATTGGAGAGGTCAAGTCGGCCCAAAGGTAGTCCCATCAGATTTTGCATGGTCTTGATGACAATGTATTTACAACCACCTATATTCATGCCAAAAATATTCCTAGAACAAAACTTTCCTAAGCCTATAATGCATATAAGCTCTAGTTCAATTCATTCGAAAAAATTGATAAGAAACACTTGGAGATATCAAGTAAACTTATCAATTTTGGAAAAACAGCGAAAATTTTCATCCAAACTCCACTAAAAATCAGAAAAACAGTAATATTATTGCAAGAATCAATTAGAACGAAAAGAAAATATCAAGATACAATTGATCATCAATTCCAGAGGAGGATCTATCTCTCCTAATCTTTAGATGCCACTAGAGCCCACGACACTAAGCACCAAAGACATCAAAACAGCCACAAATTATCAAATAACCCTAACCCAAATTTTCTCTTCTTGTTTAAAGCATAAATTCAAACACAAAAAATAAATAAATAAATTCAAACACACAAGTCAAAATTTCCCTCCAACCCTAGCCATTCCCTCCTTCCTTAACGGATTCCCTAGTGGGGTTCACAAATGCCTTGGGGTGGCAATCCCTAGTAGGCAGGGCCTGCTCCGCCTCATGTAGACTTTAGCCGGCCCCTTGCTTTGAGCCGGCTGGACCGGTTCAATATGAACCGGTCTAACAAAAATTTGAAAGGGGGCTTTAGGAACTCAAAGAAATCCTCCACTGCTAGATTTTTTTGTACAACCCCAAACTCCATAAAACCAGACAGCCGAAACCTGAACAGACCTCTCTAGCCATCCTCCTCAACCAGTCAAACCACCTCTTTTTGTCATCATTCATTTGTCTTCCAGGGTTGATGACCAAATAAGCTTACCATGCTGCCCCCTTCATTAACTTTTTTCCTAACAAATATTCAACCTCTCCTACTAACAACCTACAGACCAACGTAGCTGATATCTCGCTTCAGTGTGTTCAATGGCATAAATTATATATTCCTTAGTGGTTCTCAAATCAACCTCACTTTGTTTCTCATTGTTCTCCATGTCCAATGACGATTCCCTCGATCAATCTATTTTTGAAAATTTTACGTCTAAGAAGACAGTAGCGTTGCCTCACTCTACCGGTTAACGTTTGTGTAATGAGGGAAGGCTAGCTAGCTTGCATGTTACTATGGTCTTCCATAGCATGGTGGGCGAAGGTGTCTTACTCTATGAGAGAACTCATTCTCAGGGTCGTTGCAAAATGATATTTTTCTAATATCTTTCTCACACAACTCAAAACTAATTTTTTGAAAAAAATAAATAAATAAAAGACGAGCAGAGCCAAACGAAACCTACCTTCCACGTCTTCAACGGTCATGGAGTTAGGGGTGTTAAAAAAAAATGGAGTTAGGGGTGTCAAATTTAAATTTGACACGACCTAAAAATCCTACTCGAACCCGACACGAAAATTTCGTGCTTGGGTCCGAATTTTCAACCCGTTTTGAATTCCGGGTCAGGTTCGGATTGACCCGGAAACCCGAAAATGACCCGGTTGTGACCCTGAATACTGTAGTTCAGCGTATTTACGGGATTTGACCATGTTTCACAGCGAGCGAACTTCGTTGCTTTTGATCAAAATGACATAACTTCTGATCGGAAGGGAACGTCGTCCGTGGAGTGATATCGAACAGCAACGATGAGAAAGAGAAGATAAAAAGAAAATCCTAGACGCCTCTAAGAAGACGAAAGTGATGATAACATCATCGAAGGAGCGAAGTCGAACTGCAAGGAAGGAGCCAAAGAAGCGACTCGTGCAATCTCCACACCTCCTGCGGCGGAACGTAGCCGAACAGAAACGACGAAAAAGAGAAGATAAAAAAGCAAATCGTAGATGCGCACGGAAGGGAGAAAGTTACCTTCACAGCGAGCGAGCTCCCGTTGTTGCTTCCAATCAAAATGTTGTAAAGTCGAATTGCAAGGAAGGAGCCGAAGAAGCGACTCGTGCAATCTCCACACCTCCTGCGGCGGAACGTAGCCAAACCGAAACGACGAAAAAGAGAAGATAAAAAAGCAAATCGTAGATGCGCACGAAAGGGAGAAAGTTACCTTCACAGCGAGCGAGCTCCCGATGTTGCTTCCAATCAAAATGTTGTAACTTCCGATAGCGTCGTCGAAGGAGCGAAGTCGAACTGCAACGAAGGAGCCAAAGAAGCGACTCGTGCAATCTCCACAGTCCACACCTCCTGCAAAACGAAGCTGAATAGTACAACGAGCAAACTCACATCATTTTGCTTCCGATCAAAATATGCGGGTCGGGTTTGGGTCCAAAAAATTGGATCGGGTCAAATAGTTCCGTGTTGGATCCGAACCCGACCCTAACCCAATTTTGATAGGCCTACATGGAGTAGGTGGAATCCAACACTAACCGCAGTTGAAGTTGGCTGAGAAAGACAACGGAAGAGATGATGAATTAAGATAATGAATTAAGAAATATCAGTCAAGAAAAATAGTAAAGTTTCAGTAAAAATTGTCCATGTTAAAAGGAAAATAACAGAGGGAATTTGAATATAAACATTAAGAAGAATGTGCTTCATAAAGAACCAAGCTATTACGGGTTAGTTAAAAGTTTTCCCTAATTATAATAACCATTCCCGAGTCGTTTCAGCTTCTAGGCTGGAGAAGATGCTGTTTGCTGAGGAAGAAACAATGCAGTTAAAAATATGAACAGATGGAAATAACGATGAAACTGTCAGCTGAGAATGACGCGACAATTGAAAAAGTGAAATGCCAGATTGTCAAGGAAAACACCCATGGAAAAAAATTTAGGTCAGAACTTCCTGAAAATAAATACCTGCATTACATTATCAATCAATATTTTTGGCTAATCACATGGATGAAAAATGTTGTGTACGGGTTTTCCTTTTTTTTCCAGTCATACAAAGGAGATTACATCTGCATTCAGACAAGAAAAACCATTAATCCCCCACCTAAAAATAAGGTTTGATCACTATGATTAGGACTTCGGAGATAGAGATTTTGAGGTTGCTTGGAGATGCCATTCATTATAAGGTCCTAACTGGCAAATGGAAGAATATCCTGCACAATCGAGAACCTGTATTCGAAAGCCGCAAATGCCCATTTAAGTATTCCTTCAGCTCTCGAGGATATTGATCAACTTCTGCTCAGAATGCTTGATATAGCATGGAAAATTATGCTTCAGGAGCTAGACAACAAATAGTACTAAGAAACCAGCAACGTGAGGGTAATTCATGTTACTGAACTTCAATTTTTCTGTTGCTGCGCTTTCTCTTAACAGATTTTGTATTTTTACTAGCCAACATCTCTGCGGTTAGAAATGCCTTTTGAGAAGGTAATTCACCAATGAACAGTACATTTTGTGCCCAACCAGCATATTTTCCAAACGTTGCAATGAATATCTCAGCCACACGAGTGGATAGCTTTGGAGTCATTTGTGCGCCAGAAAGCTCTGGCATGAAGTAGCGTGTAGCGATCTACGCACATACACCAGTTAAAAGCATTTTCATGTTAAAGATAATGAGGAAAAAATGTAGGAATTTAGTTAAGAAATAACAATCTGGACAAATTTACTGAACTGGACTGATTTAGTATCTTAGATGTATGGAAGATGAATAACAATAGGAGAATATTAAGCATCAAACAAAAAAACACCTATCACTCGTATTCAATGAACTTATTACAAAGTTGATCTTGTAAATAGAAAAAAAAGATGGTGTAAATCAAAGCCCTACATGGGATCCTAGTTGGGTACCCATGCTTTACTCGGACGGGCTTCGCCCACCCACACCCACCCATGGTGACTTTCGAGATGCCATACCCACCTATACCGACCCACTTACTTTCCATACTTTTTGAACGCAGTCTGCCACGGGCTGATGGCCTTGAGGCCTGTTTCCCTTTGCTCTGATTGCAAACTTTCTAGCCGCATATCAGAATTTACTGTAGTCACAACGCTGTTAAGTGTTGCACACCACATAGTGAGTGCAATAATATAATATATACGGTGATTAGCAATGTAAACTGATTTATCCCCCAATGTTAAGTAACCACTCATACCCACCCACAAGGCCATGGGCTTACCCATACCCACCCATACCCATGGTGGGTATATGGGTGCCCAATGCAGGGCTTTGGTATAAATCAATGTATCCATTTAATCCTTAGAACTAACTTTTGCTTTCTGCTACTGTCATATGATTGAATTGCTGCATAATGGAGTCAGACTTTAAGTAGAGATATTACAAAGACTCGATACTTATAGTTAAATTTGTGTCATAGAGTTGGCTACACTATTTTGTGACTCGCTCCTAAGCTTTATTACAAATCCTTGGCCCTCTCAAATTTGACCAAGACGTATTTCAGATGGGAATAAGCATGCCTTTATCACTCCTATACCTAATTATATCATAGATGGGAATAAACATGCCCCACTAAGCATTTTCAATAAAATAAATTTCTAAATTTTGAGCTAACTAATTATATGTTTCATAATGTTACAAAAGTTAAATTTTCATGCATACCCCAGTAGATTTAGTACTACATATCTTTTAATAAAAGTATCATAATTCGAAGATTTTGTCATCCCATTCATCGGTCGTTCTCCATGTCCAGCATTCCTATTCATACTTATAGGGTTAATGAGGTGTCTGAACATTTGACAGAAGCTTTACAGTTGTTCATTTCCATTGAAGCTAGGTTATACTTTTTAGCATCCATGGCCTCCATACGTATATTTCTCTGCATGACAGCATGTCCAGTTTGTGTACATGAGTCCAGTTCATTGTTTATTCTTTGGACCAATGACTCAGTAATGATTAGCAAACTGATGAGGACATTGTTCAGAGATTCAGATACGTGTACCAGCGACGGAATCGTAGATTGACGGCTACAATTCAGCGCCTCTACTTTTGATGCATTATGTTTTATTTAGTTTTGTTGTTTACCGAATTTACCCCTATGGGAAGTGTTTTGTTATTGTAGCCCGGAGGGCAATTGTGTACTTTTCCTTTTTCATGTTTGAGACCTATATATAGTAGTCATATGTGCTGTAATAGTATGATTTGATAATAAAATATTATGTGTTCTTCTTCTTCTTCTTATTGTGAGAGCACTAGAGAGAAGGGAGTGAGAGCTCGATGTGAGAGCAAGCGCAATACCCACCAGTCGTTGGAAGAATCCGCGGCTCGTGGTTTAATCTATCTTATTTTCTTTTCTTCTCTTCCCCATCCCAACCGCTGGATCCTACTTCTCCCCACACCACCCGTGCCCAACTCCCCCACCTTGGCTCCACCACCAACTCCATACTACTTCCCTCCAAGCTCTACCGCCGACCTCCCATTTTCCCCTCCTTGAATGATGAATTAACTCATCATTACTACTTACCTTAATAACCTAAATGATTTAGGAAATTAATCTCCACCAATTGAAATTCAAATTTTGAATTTCAAATAGTTTCCTAAATTAGAAAGCTATTTTAGAAAAGACTTGAATCTAATTTCAATTTAATTTTAAATTAGATTGGAGTGATTTATTCTTTCCCTAAATTAGAAAGACCAATTAGGAAGAAATTCTAATTAACCCCATACCCTCTCCCCTCTCATAATGCGCCTCCCCCATTAATGGGGTTTCTTCTTGGTTTCCAATTGGGCTCCCAATCACACATTAAATTAAATTCAAATTTCAAATTAATTCCGTCTAAACCTAATTAGAATCTGAAATTAATTTCAAATTTGGATTAAAGCTTCCTCTCTCTCCCTAACCTAACCTAATTCTCCCTCATCCAAACCGTCCCCTCTCCACCTTGGCCACCCCTCCTTCCCTTGCATCTCCTCCCTTGGGAAACCTTAGCTCTCCCATGAAACTTGAAACCAAGAGAAGAAGACAAACTCCTCTCTAATTTTCATCATCGTTGGTGGCCGATCCAGAGGTCGACCACAATTTCGCCAACAACCCCCAAGGGAAAATTGACATTCTCCGCTCCTCTTTCTACGAGCCTGATTGGGAGTACGACAAATCGGTGGAAGACTACATCAAACGCATCCTCTACTGCTTAGCGGAGACGATTGATCTTCAAAAACCCATAACGCCTTGGCTTCTCATCGTGAGATCCACCCCTTCACCTCTGGCTACCTCTCCATCAATGAAGGCCTTCGGTACCATCTTCCTAGTGATAGTCTCTTTCCTCGTATGCTGCGTCTTCATCCGCTAACGCCTAAGAGTGATTGAGTGAGAAGGAACTCTTAGTGACTATATCTTGATGTTATGCTATGGATTCTTGTTTACTTGCTATTAGCGTTACTATATTGTTTTTATAGTTATGGTGATTGTCTCACTAACTTACTTGTAACTTTTGTCATCACTTAATCTCTTAATGAAAATTCTACGAATTTGACTTGATTGAAACATAAGTTCTTAATTGGCAAAGTTTAGGTTCAATATTTATTGTTAAAACCTGAGCAACTCTTATCACATGTTTGTATTACATCATATTTGGTATCAGAGCATGGTAAGCATGTATTGCATGTGCTAGAAGTTCCTAGGAGTCTAGTTAACATTTCCAAAACTTGTTTGCATGCACACCATTGCCTAGTTAATTTAGCTCACTGTTTTTCCTTGCTGTCCATTAAATTTATGCACCGTTTACATCACTTTAAGTGAGTCTATTTCATTGTTTAAGTGTTGCCCTTGTCCCAATAATATCCCTAGTTGTCTAGGTTCCTTAAACAATCATTATAGCTTGTTGTCCAAATTTAACATTGCTTCAACTGATTTTTATATTCATATTCAATTAATCACTTTACTGTTTATATGTATTATGAAAAATCAATATACTCTATAAAGATATGTTTGCAAATTCCATTTGAGTCTTTTGTTTTTTTAAACCACTCGTAGGAAGAGCCCAATGTGGGCTTTTCTAAATTTTGAAGGCGGGGCATGTGCCCCCCTTGGCTCCCCCCCCCCTCTCTCCGCCACGGTGCACAGAGGAGGGAGATCGACAAGTCGGGCTGGGGACACGAATCATGCACGGCTTTCTGTATTGTGTGCAACACAGAGAGATGAGAGAAACGAGAGGGAGTTCCGTTCGTGAGAGTTTGAATGAGAAGGAGAGTGGGCTAGGGATTTTGTGATATGAAGGGAGTTACGTGAGGGAACCATCGCGTTGTTTGGGTGAATGTGCGTGAATTGGGGCCTCGAGGTAGGATGAGTCGAACAACGGGCGTCGCAGGTCTCGGGTTAGCGTGTGTTCAGGATAGTGGTTGATGTAGACACACAAGAAGAAAACTGACACAATGAGTAGAACTTAAAACAAACTTTATTAAATAAAAGCAAACGACCCAAAACTTGACAAACACAATAAAAGATGCTAGGAGATTTTAAAGAAATAAAGAAATTTAAAAATACGCTATCCCCAGACAACCGTCAGAGCGGGTTCCTCACATGCATCGAATTTGTAGGTTAAATAAGTAAAGTGCATAGAACTAGCAAACCGATGGTCCACCACTGCAAGACTGTCCCAAATGCTTCCAAATCAACCAAGACACGACACCCTAAAGTTGCTTCACTGTTGAGAAGAAGGATACAGATGGAGTGGCACTTGCGGAGAGACGAAGAGGTTAGAAGCCCGAGAAGAAAGGGTGGAAAGAGCCCGCAGGATTTCCGTAGGGGATTAGAAAAGAAGGGTGGAAAGAGCCCGCAGGATTTCCGAATAAACCCGCAGGTTAATAGCAAATATGCTCACAAATATCAACTGCCTTTCTTTACAACATCATCTCTTATTTATAGGCAAAGTAGGAGAATGCATAGGGAAAAAACTTATTTAGAGGACAGATTTTGGTGCACATGCTGAGGACTAGTGGTAGAAGACACGTATTAGAAAAAAACACTTAACTCCTATGTGAAAGCATCAATAAGAATTGAATGCAATGAACATAAAAAATAATCACAAATAGGACAAACACCAAAATAATGCATAGCATACTTATGTGATTCTATAAATGTTTGCCTAAATTCCAACCATAATAATTGATGATGATTTTCACTACATATGAGACATGGAATACTCACAATACTCTCCCCCTCTTCTTTCTCTCTCTTTATATTTATAATTGTCTCAACAAGCATTCCTCCCCAAGTTGCCTATCACCAAACCTTTTCATGAAGGGAAGGTTTAACCACTGTTATTTAAAAAAGTTCCCAATTCAATTAAATTATAATATTCTGAATAGAAAAGGGATTTTTCCATCCAATCTATTCTCATAGTCCAAATTGATTCTGCTTGTTGCCCACTCATCTCTTCAACATTAATCAATACCCCAACACCACACCTATGTTGCACCGATACGGATACGGCGACACGAATACGACACGATACGGATACGGGATACGTCAATTCTTAAAAATATAGGATACGGGTACGGCGCGGACACGGCATTATGATTTATAATCATACATAAAAATTAAGAAATCAATCAAAACATAATATTTGAACAAAAAAAAATGACAACAACATCATTTGTAGCCTTGTAGCTTATAATATCAAAATATAAGTAAGCATTAAATGTCTAGTACAACAACAAAAGCAAAAACATAAATTATCTAGCACATGAAGTTTGAAGTATTCAATAGAATGAATGATATAATTATCTTCTTCATTGGTTTGTCTTTGAACTTCTATATCATCTTTAATAAATATCATAGCTGCTAATTCAAGCTCATTAAGTGAAAGAGTAGTAATTTTTAATATTTTCATATCATCAAGAGACTCAAATCAATATCAGAAATGAGAGAATTTTGCTCCCAACCACGGAAGTAAATATGACACGTCTTTTTTCTTCGGATTTCTTTTTGTTTTTCAACGGACACGCGTATCGGATACGTGTATCCTTTTGAAATTAAATAGTATTTTAATTGGATACGGCTTTGGAGTATCCAACACGTATCGGTGGAGTATCGGAGGCGTATTCGTGTATCGGTGTATCGGATACAGCACGCCTTCATAAATAGGTGTATCGGTGCAACATAGCACCACACTATATATCCCATTTCAACATCCAGTCCTCATCATCACTTCACCGTTTCCCAATTACCAACTAATTGTTTCTCTCTTTGATCCCTCTCTTCCCTTCTTCAAAATGTAAGGCTAGAGCTAGGGCTAAAGTTAGGATTAGAGCTCAGCGACATATCGAACACTTCTTATGTCACATCTCCTTCTATTTCAAGGTATTGGTCAAAATTCAAAACCAAAAGAAATGGGGATATAAGCTCATCAAGCTCTACTTGTTATTCTATAATTTATTGCTGATTTTTAGATTGAAAGAACGTGTTCATCAAATGGTAAATTCACCGTTGTGAACTAATAATTATGAAAAACAAGACGACTATAAGCAAACATCTAAGGTCTTGAAACCGCTATATAAATTGAGCCAGCAGTAGCAGTGTCATTTTGTACGGATGAGTCATTCAATTGACAGTAAGGTTCCAAATAATGAATAGGTTCTAATTTCAATAGTCAAGAAGTAGTTTCCAAGAACATTTTGAGGACAAAGACTTACAAATAACGTGCCCCAAATCCTGGAGAATTGCAAGTAATACAAGCAAAAAGGTATGATGGTCTAACCAGCAACCTGAAACAGAATGATTGTCTCCGAAAGTTATAGGTTCACGTTCATAATACTAAACCAACCTAAATTCCCGTACTCCTCCTAGCACCCTCTATCAAAGGCCCAAACTCCATCAAGAGCAATGTTAAAATTCTGAACTCCTCTCTCGAAAACACCATTCAGCTGTTCCCCTTCTCATCATTCATTGGCCAAAAATCATTTTACAGTTGTTCCTCTCAATTCTGTGTCTCCAGCCTGATAATAGAGGAGGCAGTACTTGACCACAAACCAAATTTTTAAGATTTGATGCCCTCAACAGCATTGAAACAAATTTATTCTGATAAACTTTTCACACCCTCAGAGACTGCACTTACTGACAACCATCCAATTTTCCTGGATTGCATTGTCCTTGACACTCTTCCTCCTCTACCATCCCCAATCCTGTTATCACCATTGGCAACAACTTCTCCCTCTCCATAAACATCAAATGCAGACTAAACCCAAAAGGCATGAATCCCAACTCCCAAGTAGCATCAAGCTCTAACTACAAGGAACAAGGTTTTTTAGTTAATAAATTAAAAAAAAAAAAACGGGGTAAAGAAGATTAACCTTCCACACATGGGTATCAACTGGAATTGCATGATGTTGGTCAAGGGAAAAAAGAGCAATGCAGGCAGCAACTTTTGGTCCTACTCCAGGCAGGGAACAAAGGGCCTCTAACACATCCTGCAGATCCATGCTGCGGAGGGAAGCAAGCCATTCCACACCCCCACCGGGCTTTGCTTGTAAAGCCTTGATTGCACCAACAATATACTTTGCTCTATTTGTTTGCAACGACATTTAACAGTCAAGACTTAGATATACAGTATAAACTACAAATGCATTTTGAAGTTAGATGCTCAACATGTTAATTAGCTAAAAAACATAGGAGTTCATAAAAACAAAAACTGCTCTGGGACCATTTGTTCTTAAAAGTAAAATTAATGTGTATTTAGCAATTCCATAAACTGGACCTTTTGTGAGCAAGGCCTCTAAGGATGACATTTTTTTTATTTATTACAATCCAAAATTTTCATATTCGACACATTGAAGTTTCAACAATTTTAATTATCAAACTTCTTCATGGTGGTTAAATATGAAAATTCAATGATAACAGTCAGACTACACCCATGCAAAAAGAAGAAGACAGACCTCCATTTTAAAAAAGGAGACCTTTATTTCTCCTATGATTTGTCAATTAAATTTTATTTCATATAGAATGGGATAAAACTTATTAAGCATTCTATCCAAATGAAGAGGGTCAAATTTCAGAACATGCATGCCGTCAACCTATTATGAAGCGGGAACAACTACAGAAGAAACTTCCAACGAACTTGAATTCTGTGGAAAAAGAAAAGGAAAAAAAAAAAGGTTATGCCAGATACATGTGGGAGTGTGAGAACATACGACATTTTCTTGAATGGGAATGTGAGATATGAGATTACCAAGCAATTTTGCCGAAAGAAAATAGCAAATAAGTAAATATGATGCAGGACTACTTAGATGTTATGGTTATGGTTTCATTTGAGCATTGCACAACTATTGAATTAGAATAATTTCAGAACAAAATTATAAGCAATTTTCAAACGATGATTAAGACAAATGAAGCGATCAATTGCGTAGGCGAAATCACATGCTCCGAATTTGAACTATCAAGATAATTGAGAAAATAAAAACAATACCGAATAGTAGTTTTCAAATTAAATCCCTAATCTATAATCTCCAAAAGAAGGTATAAGGAGCAGCATGATTCCTCAGGGCTCTCAAACACAAAGCTGATTGCTTTCGGTCTAGCATCCCATATCTTGTTGTATGTAACTTTGATATCAAATTTGGACTCAATGTGGGCAATAATCTCACGAGGTTTCCGATCTAACTATTCCCTCAATGACGCAGTGATGTAAGAACAAATGAACTTTGATGCGCAATTTTGGTGGATACTTGAAATGATCAGAAGTATGCACGTGTGCAGTTAGCAATACATGAAACTGTGCACAAAATTCAACACAGCACAATCAAATAATAACATATATATTTCAAAATGTAATTACCAAAATCATGCTTAAATAAAAGTATTGAACTAACCTTCTTAATTATCTACCACAGAGAATCCACTGCACTACTTCAACACTTCTTGATTGCTCTCACCGGAAAACTTACTCGGCACGGCGGATTCATTTCATTCTCACTTCTTCTACTCATGCACACATCCTAATTCATCTAAATTTTAATAATTAAAAATAAAAATCGTTGTTGCACCCCCAACTCCTACAAGAATAATACAAATTATTGAGGTCATTGTCGCCCAGTATCTCATAATCGACAGTCATTATTTACGCATTATCGTTGGAAAGTTAGTTAGTGCATGATTATACGATATCTAAATATCAAATTACTTAAACTGTTTCTCTAATTATTCCTCAAAAACTCCAACTATTTCTCCAATTATTGAATGCATTATGTATGTGTTCATTAAAAACTGTTAAAAGGATATTCGGTTTCTACTTATCATGATTTCTTAATACTTGTGTTAAGGAGGTATTAGATTTGACTTGTGTTAAGAAAGGTAGGGGTAGACCTAAAAAGACTTGGTTAGAAAATATTAGGAATGACCTTTCTTTATTAGATTAAACGAGAATTTGACTTTTAATAGGACACAATGGAGAAAAAAGATTCATGTAGCCGACCCCACGTAGTGATAAAGGCTTGATGTTGTTGTTGTTGTTGTATGATTTCTTAATACTAGAGCACAACAACACTACCTCAAACAGAAACAGTATACATGGTTCAATTGAAGGGATTTGAGGACTCAACCCATCCATATCATGTCTGTCTTCTTCGCAAATCAATATACGGCCTCAAACAAGCATCGTGATTCGTGACAATGAAACACCTTAGGTCGGCTCACAACTTTCTTGGTATTCAAATTAGCCTGCACACAAATCAATATTGCCTCTCACAGAAAGCATACGGCCTCTCCATCCTACAGCAAGCAAATCAAACTCATTGCAACTCTCTATCCAACCCAACCTGCACCAAACTACTAACCACTATTACAGCTGATTCCCCCTCCTTTAAGATCCCAATCTGTATCGGATATTCATCGAATCCCTGCAATATTTAATGCTAACACTCCCAGATATTGCGCTCGCAGTTAATCTCATCTCCCAACACATACACAACCCTCTACAGCAGCATATTTACCTTCTCAAACGCCTTCTTCACTATCTCAAAGGCACACTCCACTTTGGCATTCCTATAACCCGCAGCCACCAACATCTTCAGTCTTTCTCGGATGCAGACTGGGCGGAAGATCCTATCTCTCGCAAATCAACCTTCGATTACTTCTCTTTCCTAGGTAATACAATTATCTCATGGATGGTCAAGAAATAGCACACAGTAGTCAGATCATCCACTGAATCTAAAATTATGCACTGGTAGCAGTTACAGCAGGCATTCTATAGCTTCGGCGTCTCTTGATGGACTTCAGAATTCCATTGGACCAACCAACTGATCTATATTGCGATAACACATCAGCTAGCGCACTAGCAAACAACCCTGTCTTCCATGTCATAACTAAACACATAAAAATCGATCAAAAAATCATTCTTGATCACATACACAACAACAACATTCGGCTCCTTCCATCAGCACAGTGGAACAAGTTGCATACATCCTCACCAAATTGCTCACCAAGATTTCATCAACTCCGATCCAAACTGACGGTCATACGTAAGGGTGTAAGTGAGCCGTCGGGCCACGAGCTTCTTAAGGCTCGGCTCGTGAGCTCGCGAGCCAACTCGAAATTATTTTAATTAAATTAATCAGCGAACAGATTTTTATTTTAAAAAATAAATGGTTTGAGGTTTCTGCTCTTCATTAATGATATGGCAGCCTATATGACAGGTTCTCAAAAAAAAAAGAATAAAAAATATACTTGTTTCGGCTCTTTATTAATGATATGACAGATTTGGCAGCTCTTCATTAATATATGAGAGAAGTTTTCAAAAAGTACGAATAAAAAATTACTAGTTATTTTCCCAAAAAAAAAGCTGCCGCAGGTTCATGTTTTTTAAAAAAAAAAACCTATTGTTTCTACTTTTCGAAGTACGCGACAAACACGGGTGGCAAAATGAGAAATTGGGTGGTAAAAATGGGACAAATGCAAAATCTAGGGCGAAATCGAGCGGCTCGCGAGCTGGCTCGAGCTCGTTTATAGTGGGACGAGCTTGAGTTCGGGCTAGCTTTCCGACTGAAGAGCCGAGCTCAATAGTGCTAAAACTCGACTCGACTCGACTCGACTCAACCCGTTTACACCCTTAGTCATATCAGGCCCATAGAGCACAAAAATGCTGCCTCTAACAGAATTACAGTTGTTAGAGTACAACAAACCATATATAAATCACTGCCACTCACATACAACAAACTATTTTCATCTCAGCTGTACAAGTGTAAAGCTTCCTGAAGCTAACTGATGTAATGCTACAGTGAGAAGGTTGAATGAATATACTACTTGCCATATACTGTATTCTCTGCTTCGTTCTTTTCTCATAGCAGGTTGTAGATTTCTCAGCAGGCAACAGAACTTCTACACTTAAGCAACTGGAAAATAATTTTCCGGTTTTTTAAGAAACCACAAATTCCTTTCCCGGTTTCAATAAATTTTAATTTCATATCCCGGTTTTGCTCCTTTTCAGATTTAACTCTGACACAGCTCCTATATAACTAATTCTAATTAATAACCTGATACTTCTAAAATTTTGACCTATCAGAAAAGACTCAGCGAATTACTATGTGTTTTTTGGCCCTTCAGAAATTTACATGTATGAATTCATTATCAAAACCAAAACTTGCTAATCAAGAATCAAAGGCTGGATCCTAAAAAGAGCTTACCTGTAACCAAATCCAGCTTCTCTAAGCTGCTGCTCGCTGACAACAGAAAGCCTCTCAAGGGTGGGAAACTGGTGGAAGTGAAACCCACCAACCGACCCCAAATACTCCCCAAAAGAAGACAGAACCCCAACCATCTTCTCAATCCTTGCAATGTTATTGTTCGAAGAGCAGAGGAACTGAAAAACGCACTCCACCGGATCCTGCCGCAAAACGCGGGCCCCGCCATCGAATCGCCGAGAGATCTCATCGAACCGCGGATCCGCCGCAGAAAAGCCTCGCCACATAGCGGTGAGGGAGACCTCGAGGTTAAGATAGTCACTCAGCGCAGCCCGCGCGCAAGAAGCGTCTGAGGAATGGTGGAGAAAGAAGTGGACTCGTCCAGAGGGATCTTCATCGGCGTGCTTGAGGGAGAAAAGATGGGGGCCGACGACGCCAGTAAACTGGGAGGGACCAGTGCGACGCCAACGAAATGTCTGGCCAGTGGGCAGAGTGAGGGGAAGTGATAGCTCCGATCTCGGGACGTCGAGAAGCTGCCAATCCCTACCGGCAACGGCGGCGGAATGGAGAAGCGAAGTGGTGAGAGATCTTTGAGTTCGAGACCGAAAGGGAGCCGACGAGTTGGATTCTTCCTTTGGAGGTGTTGTAGGATGTGGAGATGGAAGAGAAGTGGCAGAGAAAATCAGCGGAGTTGTCGGCGGCGGTGTCTTCAACCGCCGCAGCTGGCTCATGACTCCGCAGAAATGGCGAAGTTGTTTGGGTAGATGCTGAGCGGGGCAGGGGAACACCAGGGATCTCATCAATGTCGCGACCGAGAATGAAAAGGTTTCTTTACATAAAACTATTGTACATATATTTAGTAACTAAATTTTATTATTTACGTATATAATATTTAAAATTTTAAATAATCTTAAAAAATAGCAGTCTCCTCTCCCTCTTTGATTTATTTTAAATACTTTTGAGAGAATAAAATGTTAACTTATACCCTCATCATATATATTGAATTCATTTTTATTGATACTTGTTGATAGTCAAAGGTTTTATTTGATATATTTTTCTTAATATTTTTTAAAGTTATTAATTATCAAAAAAATTTGAATTAAATTTTTTTTAATAAAATACTATTTTAGAAAACAGTAATGAAATTGTCCAAAAAAAGAAAAATTCAGATGAAGCTTTCATCTGAACTCTGATTAAAATAGGCCACTTTCATTGTATACAATTTATATACAAATTATATATTATGTACAGATGATATGAACTTTTTTTTGGACATTTAGGTCAATTAAAACAAACTCACACATATAAGACTCGAACTTAAGACCTCTTAATTGATAGCCTAAGCACCCAATCACAGGTCAAGATGAGCTGTGTTATGTGAACTATTTTAGGCTTCATTTGGAACGGTTTTTTTATTGTTTCTTAAAACAATTTTTTAGTATAAAAATTTGATTTGTTGTATTCAAAAGCTGCTTTAAGAAGCAATAAGAAAATCATCTCACATGAAGCCTTAATTGAGATACGGACCGAATCTAATAATTTCTCCTTAAAAAAAACCTAAAACTCCAAACAAAAAAAAATCAAGGTGGGTTGCATCTCCCTCTTTAAGTCGAGCTGTGACGCACGGATTGCTCTTCACCAGTTTGTTGCCTCGTTGATTGTTGGAGCGGTGACTCCGTTCAGCGCTTAGAGCATCTCCAATGGAATGGTAAACAACTGTTTCACGATCTTCTGTCGTTCCAACCGAGAGACAATTCTTATGCCATTTCATGGCGGATAAACAGTGTGACACCAATATTTGGCATTGCACTGTTCATCTGCGCCATTTTCTGGTCTATACCGAACTTGTCGAAGAAACACGCGAAAGACGAGAACGATCGTTGCGGGGCAAAAATGAAGTTCGATTGGAGATGAATCAATGCATTTTTTAGTTTCATGACATTTTGGAGTGAAAAATGATTATCATGTGACCACCTTTCGGATTGTATTGGCGACTAGAGAGAGCCGCGTTTTTCAAATCCATCGACCTTGCTCCATCCAGATTTGATGCTCGTTAGATTTCATCGGGATCTCTACATCCTAGCTTCACTAGACGCCGCCCCAACCGTACGTCGGCCCAGATTTTGCCCCATTCCGTGAGCTTCATCTCCTTCCATCTCAACACAAGATCCGCCTACATCTGAGAACGTCGCAACTTGTGCTTGGCGTCGTTAATGTGAGTTAAAGCATCTCCAACCTAAAAATTCATTTCCACTTCAAAATACAGTAAAACTTCAAAATGCTGCAGTAATTTGTCTCTGTCCCCAACCAAATTTTATTTTCTAATATAAAAAAATATATTTCTCTACATCTGAGAACGTCGCAACTTGTGCTTGGCGTCGTTAATGTGAGTTAAAGCATCTCCAACCTAAAAATTCATTTCCACTTCAAAATACAGTAAAACTTCAAAATGCTGCAGTAATTTGTCTCTGTCCCCAACCAAATTTTATTTTCTAATATAAAAAAATATATTTCTAGTATATTCTTTTTCATATTTTATTTTATTTTTTAATCATATATTTATATTTATCAATTTTAAACCTATTATAATTTTAAAAATTATGTTTTTTTTTTCTCTATGAAAAAATTTTTATATATATATATATATACTTTAGAATTGCTTATTGAATTGGGACTGATGGAAGAAGTTCAATGGAAAAGCAAACGAATTGATATTTTTTTTATCAATATACTTTTCAAGTATATAATATAAGAAAAATCTCAAATATTATTTTTCTTAACATCATATAAATCTTTTATTTATATCATCATCATGAGTTCATTAAAAAACTTTATGATTTATTTTATTTTATTTCATTCATTCAATTTTTCTCCAAGCCGTACTAACTTATAGATTTCAAGTTATCAAAATCATATAAGAATTCTTGCACTCTTCTCTTAACCTCTCCTTCAAACTTGGTCTTCAAAGAAATAGGAAATCCCCTTCAAATAGTTTTGATTTCCAATGCTAATAAATAATAATATATAATATTTCATATTTATATCAATGGCTTATAATATTATGAACCGATATTCCATTTTCATTAGGAACCGGCGTCGAAATATCTTAATATCTATTATGTTAAGGATTATGTAATATAAATATTTTGCGAGACTAATTTCAATGAAAATTAGATAGTGTTCTAACCAGTCTTGAAAGAATTTGTATCAAGATGCCTAACACAAATTTTTTTCCTTATAAAGAAGTCAAAGTATCTCAAGAAATTCTGATGCTAATTATATTTGAATGCACTCAAAAACTAAATTTACTTCCAAATTGTTGCAATATAGATTCTTTACATATTGCATTAATTGCAATACAAATATAATAATTTTTAAGCTAGTTTGTTTGGGGTTTTAAAATATATATATACCATAATAAAATTTATCAATTAACATAAAATTTGATGTAATATTTAGATCTCAAACTTCAAATGTTTGTTAAATTGACTATCATATCATTTGAACTCCATTTATAAGTTTTCAAATACTTATCATTGATAAGTGATTAAAATCGTCTTGATCAGCCACGAATCTAGATGTATATATGAATTACTAAATTTTAAAATTAAATTGGGACCATCTCATCTGGGCGCCAATTTCAGCAAATTTATACTCAAATTGAATGTCTCGATGAAACAAAACCCAACGACACTAAAATCATCCCAATCTGAGCCCAAATGAGCTTAAATTAAGAGCTTAAAGCATATTTGGAAGTTCCGAGACATTAATTGGATTACTAAATGATATCAAAATATGATATACTTATAATCAAATCGAGCGGCTCAACGGGAAAAACTCAATGAGCTCAATATTACTTTATTTTGACATCATCGAGGCACTTAAATGCTAAGGGAACGCTCCATAAAGTAGGGAATTAATATGGGTCATTCAATGGAGCACTCTAAATTTGCTCTGGATCTACTATATATTTTTGAAACATCTCACTCTCAAAATTTTTAAGTAACCCCCTCTTCCACATCAAACCGGGCTTGAACTTTTGGAGGCTTAGATCCTAGGCTAAAGACTCAAGCAAGCTTTGAGGCTTGAAGCATCTTGGAGCTTCACCCTAGCAAAATAGCCGGCAAACCCTCGTCGCAAACTTCCACAATTAGACATCTGCCCGACTACCATCATCGGACTACCGTCCGACCACCATCTTCAGTCCTTCATTGCATGTCAACTGCGGTCCCTCCAACCTTCGTTGTGCATCGACTGTTGTCTCTTGAACCACCATCGCCTGCCCCATATTGTCCCTCCAACCATCATCACCCCCCCCCCCCCCCCCCCCCCCCCGACTACAATCCCTAAAACCTTAGTCCCCTGCCAACTCCTATCCCTCTGACCTTCGTCGCCCATCTACTGCGACCCCTTCGACTCGCCCACCGACTACGATCCCTCTGACCATCATTGCCCACCAGCTATAGTCCCTTTGACCTCTATCATCCAACAACAGTCCCATCTATCTTAGTTGCCTGACTACTGCTCCACCGACCTCGATCGCCCAACTACGGTCCTACTGACCAAACGAGCATGTCGACATTCTTTTAAAAACAACTCTCATAATACTAGATTCTTCCAACTCCCACATTATAATGCGCTATATATGATGTGAATTTGCTACATTGAGTAAATGCCTTCCCCCAATGAATAACATCATTTATCATCACTACAAAACACTAGTATAATTATTTTAACAGGATCAAACCCCATAATTTTTTCCCTTTTTAGGATTTTCGACTTAAAAATATTGATGTCTCTCATGACTCTTGCACATCTCTCTCTTATCTATATGTGCGATTGATCTTCGTACAAAACTAGGACCCAAAACCCTATATCTCTACCACCGCGAATGTGTCAACACGCAACAATCATCAAATAAAATGCATCTCTTTATGAGTTGAACGTAACACTTATTGAACCAAATCAAATGCTCAAAAGTATTGTTAGCGAATTTTCATTATCATTTGAGGGACCAATTGCTTTCATTTTTCACATGTTCATGTTGTAAACTAAAGTTACAAATATCTTTAATTTGACAAGGTCAACATAATCACTTAATTATAAGCTTCTTAAAGTAGCAAGATGTCAAAAAAAAAAAAGAAAAAAAAGGCCAAATGGTAAAAAAAATTATTTATTTTAAGTCACGTGGACGGCAGCAGTATCTATCTGCACAAGGCAAACAGGAAGGGACCACCGACCACTTACATTTATTTAATTTGGCAGAAAATAAAGTAGAAATAGCTATCTATCTACGCTATTGAAGTATTGATTGGCAAATAGAGCCACAGAACGAGTTCCCATCAATAATGTATGTTCAAATCAGGAATTCTCCAGCTCCCAATTGGTCAACTTTCTCCGGCCTATTTCCGCCCATCAATTTAAATTGGTGAGTCCCACCAAATATCTAGCCAAGGAATAAATTGATAGTTTAATTAATTAGCAAATTACAGGTCTAAATTTGATCAATTTTGGTTGACAGTTGGGTTTAGGCAGCATTTGTAATTTTGAAGCTTGGGTTAACTCAGGCTCACGCAATCCAACTAAACTCACTTAGTTTTGAGCGAGAATGATTTACGCTGCAAGCTAATTCACTAGATTGCGCCAACAGCTGCCAACCGCTGTGAATTGGAGCTGGCCACCACCAGCAGTCGCCTGCCTTTGGCCACCATTATGGAGCATAGCTACTCGTTGCAGGCCACCACTGCAGCCACCACCTGCTGTTGCCGACTATTGGCCATCATCATCGCCATCCTCCGTAGATCACCACCGTTGCCACCCTCCAGCCAC